ACTCAGCTGGGGTCTCAGCTCCCACCATGCTCAGCGCTGCCCTTGCTGTCCCAGTCAGGGAAGGCAGCGAGCTCGAGCCCCCTCTCTGGTGTGCAGGGGGGCGGGGAGCATCTCTCCCTCCCACTCCGCCCCAGGGGTCTGGTTACAGGTAGGCAGGTATCCTGAGCCCAGCAGCCCCTCCCCCCTGCGAGCCAAGTCATTTGCATTTTCACCGACCATTTCCATCTTAGCCAATTTGTTCCCTGGATTCAAATTCAAATCCTCGGCCATTACAGGAGCAGGGCCTGGATCCTGTACCAAAGAGACAGAGTCACCCCCCAACAGGACCTCACAGCCGATATCCTGGAGAACCCCAACGACCAGCCAGCCCGACCCCTCCTGGGTCTGCACAGGGATCCAGGCCATAGGCAAGGAGGGGCTTCATCCCGGGGACCTTCACCCAGGTCACACAGCCCCTCAGCATCTGCAGCTGCACCCCCTGGGGCCTGACAAGAGTTCTCTCTGTCCCAGGGTCTCGCCACCCCAGGCATGTCCCCGCATTTACCACCACCTTCCGCTCCCACTGGGAGTCCGAGGGGTCTGATCCCAGGAGACTCCACGCAGACATATAGGCCGGGGCCAGGAGTGGGAGCCTGTCCACCACCCACCCATCTGGCTGACTGTGTCTATGGCCTTGGGACCCAGCAAGGGAGCTAGATACCGGGGCTTTTCTGCAGGGTCTGGGCTCAGCTCCAATCCCATCCGTCTCCGATCCCCTGATGGGGCACCTGATCGTGAAGACCCCCATATGGTCGGGGACAGGACTCTTGGGGATGCCTGGCTACTGCTGCTCCCAGATGCTCTTGTAGCCCCATTTGAGTCAGGAATCTGCTCCTTAGAGCAGTCCTTGTCCTCCAGCGGCACGATGGAGGGGGCCAGGGGGATGTGGGGCGCTGGAGGGAGGCTGGGGAAACGCACAGGAATCGGGGCAGGGGGAAAATTCTGGGGCTAAGGGGAGCAGAGCTGGACTAGAGGGAAACTCTGAGTGTCTGATAAAGGGAAGGAAAGGGGGGCATGGGGGAGGGGCTGTGGGGGGGCTGGAGGGAGAATATGGAGCAAGCGGAGACTGGCTGGGGAGCAGAGCCAGAGGGCAGGGGACAGTGAGAGATACAATGGCAACTCCCCCAGCCCATGGGGTAGGGAACAATCTCATTATTTTGGGGATCTGACTCCTGAATGTTAAATGTTTGATGTTCACAGGACTGAACAGGGCCCTGCTCTGATTTCTGTGCAGGATTCTGTGTGAAACCAGAGTCACTGCTAGCAACAGTAGGCAGGGAGCCCGACTGGTATTTATTTTGGTTTGGTTCTGGTTTGGGTTCAGTTCCATTCCGGTTTCATTTCTGGTTCTTGTCACCCAAAGAAACAAAAGTAAAAGTTCAGTTACTGGTTCAATTCCTGTTTCAATCTCAGTGGAGGTAAATTCAAAAAAGAGAACTGCAACTTCAGATGGAAACGGTTTTGGGTTTTGACTGGTTGTTTATTTTTTAAGTTTACATGAATTGTCCGGTTGTTTTTGTGTTGTCAAAGAAACACAATTATTTTTTCCTAAACAAACTGTTTGAACAACCTCAGATAACGTATTTAAACAGTTGCTTTGTTATGTTGGACCTCTGCAGTGGAAGGACACATTGGAGGCCTGGACGTTTTCTTTCAGCGCTCACTTGTGTTGCCGGAACTGCCAGTACAAGTTGTGCTAGTTGATACAGCTTGGGCATGATGACATTTTTCTGCCGCTCCCAGTAGTTTGGCAGGTTTTCTTATTGAGATGTGGCTCATCTGCAAATGAATCAGAAATTGGCCCAATCCTTTTCTGGGCTTTTCTTTGTCCAGATATTGCTTTCTTTTTGGAGATTTCACAAGCGTTCCGAATCCCAGGAAAGCTCGGATGTGGATTGGCGTCTCCCAAAGTCCATTGTTAGCTAAATACTCCCAATTACTTGAATAACCCCTTCACACTATCTTGACCAAATCTGCCTTAGGTGCTTCCTACAGCAAACACTTTAAATACAAGCCCAGAGCCAACGCTCCTAACTTCAGCTATAAAAATGAGACATGCGGATGAATAGGATGAATAGATTCAATGGATCATAACCTTTGCAAAGACATGTTACGTGGCATATCTAGCATAAAGCACCCATATCTCTCAACCCAACGAGTAATTTACCATTGATTTTAACAGCAGGCACCTGCTCACAGCTTGGTTGGGTAGAAGCCACCTTTACAAATCCTGTGTGGAAAGAGGCAGCAGCTGGGCTCTGAGAAGCAGCAGCTTCCTGTGTTGCCTGCTGCCTGTTCCCTCTTAGCCAAGAACAATTATTCCTCAGGTGCTCAGTGGACTTACAATGATAGCACCTCTTGGTTCCTCTGCTCGTACCGGAGATTTGGGACGAGTAACGGGAGTGGGGAGGTGAACGCCCAGCCTCCTTTTTCCCAGGGGTGAAACGGTGATTCTGCTTTCCCCCAACCCTGTACCCCTCTGCCAGTGGTTTATGTTTAATTGCAGCTTGAGCTTGCTCATAAGAGTCTGCAAACTCAGCTAATTCATCCACTGCATTCACCTTTTTGTCCCAGAAATACTGTTTTACCTCATCACTGCACATATTCAGTAATAGTTCCTGAGTAACCAAATCACACATTCCTTCAAAGCTTGTAATGCCTTTCCCCCTCACCCACTTATCTATCAAATCTCTCATTTCATTTACATAAGCCACATTACTCAGTCCAGATCCCCTCTTAGGACTCCTGAATTTAACCCTGTAGATTTCAGGTGTAATCTGAAACTTTTTCAAAATCAGTTCCTTAAATTTACCATAGTTTGAAGCATCATCAATAGGCATCTTATTGAATATGTCTAGAGCTCTGCCAGTCAATTTTGCTATCAAGGTGGTCATCTTTTGATCTTCAGGGATAGCATGGAGGGTGCACAGTCTCTCAAAGGTGATGAAATATTCGGCAATATCACTGGATTCATCATACTGTGGACACAGTCGCGCCCATTTGTGGATTTTTGGGCAAGTGGAGCCAGCTGCTGGAGGGTTTGTCTCTTCAACTCCCTAACAGCCAGTTCATGCTTCTGGGCCTCCCCCTGGGCCTGTATTTCTCTGTCTCTGACCTCCAGGGCTCTTTTATGGGCAGCCTCCTCCCTGGCTGCCTCTGCCTCCATAGCTCTCTTGTGAGCAGCCTCCTCCCTGGCTGTTTCTGCCTCCATTTCCATTTGTTTTAATTCCATCCGTCATTTTCTTTCTCAGCCATTTGCAATCTGTGCAGTTCTAGCTTTTTCTGAGCCTCGCTCTCACTCATGTTGCTGATTTTCCTGCCTCTAGTCCCTTCCCCGAAATAACAAACCAGTAACCACTTTGTCTGTTCTCCAGCCACCACACCCCAAACTCACTTAAAATCACTACCAGTGTCTCAGAGCAATCAGCTGTGCACAGATCCTGCTCGACTACGCCACTGTGACGGGTTGGATCACAGAAACCCCCTTGGGGCTGCCAACTGATGTGCCAAGACTACTACTAACCGTTTTCCCTGCCAGCTCGGGATCCCAGCACCCCACCTGGTTGTGCCAGACACGCTTGCCGGCTACAAACACAGACCGAGGTCTGAACCACGTCCCACAAACTGCAGGCTTAATTGAAAGCAGTGTAAGAAGTGTTCCCATCTCTAACACTCAGATGCCCAACTCCCAATGGGGTCCAAACCCCAAATAAATCCGTTTTACCCGGTATAAAGCTTATACAAGGTAAACTCATAAATTGTTCACTCTCTAGAACACTGATAGAGAGAGATGCACAGCTGTTTGCCCCCCCCTTCCCCCCTACTCCCCCCCCCCAGTATTAATACAGTCTCTGGGTTAAATAATAAGTAAAAAGTGATTTTATTAAATACAAAAAGTAGGATTTAAGTGGTTCCAAGTAATAACAGACAGAACAAAGTGAATTACCAAGCAAAATAAAATAAAACACGCAAGTCTAAACCTAATACAGTAAGAAGCTGAATACAGATGAAATCTCACCCTCAGAGATGTTCCAGATAAGCCTCTTTTACAGATTAGCCTCCTAGTCTGGGTCCAGCAATCACTCACGCCCCCGTGGTTACTGTCCTTTGTTCCAGTTCCCTTCAGGTATCCTTTGGGGGTGGAGAGGCTATTTCTTTAGCCAGCTGAAGACCAAATGGAGGGGTCTCCCAGGGGTTTAAATAGACTTTATCTTGTGGGTGGACACCCCTCCCCCTGTGTAGAATTCAGCTACAAAATGGAGTTTTGGAGTCACCGGGATAAGTCACTTGTCCATGCATGACAGAGTTCCTTACCAGCCAAGCCACATTCCTGGGAAAGCCCAGATGTGTGTTGGTGTCTCCAAGTTCATTGTTGGCTTAAGTGTTTCCTGATTGGGCACTTACTGAGAATAGTCTTCTCTCAGGAAGCTGACCAACTGCTTCACTACAACCTACTTAGAATCAAACAAGTACACAGCCAATATTCATAACTTCGAATACAACAATGACACATGCATACAAATAGGATGAACATATTCAGTAGACTGTAACCTTCACAGAGATGTGTTACATGGCATATGTAGCATAAAACATATTCCAGTTATGTCATAGATACATTCATAAGCATATTCCCATAAAGCATTATGGGGGCACCGTCACAAGGTGACTCTGCATAAATGGCCCCTCCTCACCTAGTCTTTGCTGCTCCCTTGATTCTGCTCTTTTCTAGCAGTTGGCTGGAGCCTGAACCCCCCAGGCAGAGACTTCAGTGAAATACAAAGGGGAGGTGCTGGGATTCCTGTCCCTGTTCCCTGCCCAGAGCTCTGCTTCCCAACTCAGCCTGTGCCTAGTAGGTGGGTGGGAAATGAGAAGACCCTGCCCTCCTCCGTCTGATGGGAGGACAAGGAGCTCTCCCCTTCTCTCTGTTCCCTGCAGCCTCCTGGCCACTCTGAACAGGGTGGGGGTGGGATTCTGCTCCTCTGGCCCTCCCACAGCCATCCTATTGTTGTGCTTCTTCCCCCATGAATAGTGGGGCTGTGGCTGGGGCAGCAGGCACTGAGTGGGGGCACCTGTTGTTTCAGATGCTGGTGACCTTCGAGGAGGTGACTGTGTATTTCACCAGGGCAGAGTGGGCTCTGCTGGACCCCGCTCAGAGAGCCCTCTACAGGGACGTCCTGCAGGAGAACTATGAGACCGTGACCTCGCTGGGTAAGGATTCCTGTCCCCTCAGCTATTTGAAGCAATGGGGTCTGCATTTCTGCATCTGTCAGGTTCTTCGGTCAGTTAGATTACAGGGGAATGGGTCGCGTAGCCCACAGGAGGGAGCCGTTCACCTCCAAACCCCCTCCAATGCGATAGGGGAGTCACGGACCTAATGGACTTGCTAATTCAGCCCCATCCCTCCAGCTTTCCCGGGGGCAGAAGCAGTGTCTTATTCTCTGCATTAATTCTCACTCGCACACAGCATCTCTGTGCACCTCCCTTCCTGGGACTGGCTCCATGTGTGGGGAGGGCTCTGGGGGTTCAGACACAGGCAGGGGTTTAACACCAGAGCTGTGTGTGCCTCGGCAAGTCCCCAGAGCCCACAGACCCTGAACACTCCCAGTAGCGCTGTGAAAACTTCCTGTTCCCTCCAGACATCGGCCTCTCCCACGGGGGCTCAGTGACCATGTTCCCATCTGTTCACATCCTGCAACCTCCCAAGAAATCATGGGGTCATTTGAAACTTCAGACGCGCCCTTTGTGACAAATATGCACCAATCCTCAGTGCACTCTGCTCATGCCTAATTTTCACCCCCTGAGCAGGACTCCCCATTCCCAAACCTGACCTGATCGCCCGGCTGGAAGCAGGAGAAGAGCTGTGGGTCCCGGATCTCCAGGCCTTCGAGAAAAGCAACATCCCAAGAGGCACCTGCACAGGTGAGGAGTCAGTGACACTGACACAGAAACTATCCGGCAAATGCAGGGAAAAGCTGAAAACCCCCAAAATGTGGTGTGAGCCCCCCTCAGTTCTGCCTCGTCTCACCCAGGTCAGGCGCTGGTCAGAAGGTGTCGTATCATCATGGCAGATATCGCTCATGGCTTCCCACCCACCCTGTTCGCTGTCAGGAGTTTTCTCCCTGACGTCACTTCCCTGGGAGTGTTTGGATGGGACGTGGAGGCAGAATCCAATTGCTCAGTCTCCCAACAGTTATTGTGTTGTGTTTTCCCTCTTTGCTACTCCCCTTTGTGTCCTTTCTGCCAGCACTGACTCCTAGCTGGTTTCTCTCTCTCTTCCTCAGCAGGTGATGAGACAATGAGTGAGAACGAGGAGGGGAATCTGCAGGAGGAAGGTGCTGAGCAAGTGGAACTGCAGGAAGACTTTCTGAGAAGAGCAGATGGGAATTTTTCCCCGTTCTTGGAACAGAGAAAAGCCTGGAGTAATCGGGACAGGTCAGAGAGGAAGTTGGGAAACCACCCAAGAAAGCAAGTGCACGAATCCTTTGAATGTGGGGGAGGAGGCAAGGATCCCAAAAAAACCACAACCCCACAGACAAATCCCAAGGAAAAGAAACCTTATAAATGCTTGGACTGTGGAAAAATCTTCAACTGGATCTCAAATCTTACTACCCATCGGAGACTGCACACGGGAGAGAAACCATATAAATGCCTTGAGTGTGGGAAAAGCTTCAGTCAGTGCTCAGGCCTTATTAGCCATGGGAGAACCCACACAGGAGAGGGACCATATAAATGCCTTGAATGTGGGAAAAGTTTCAGTACATCATCAGTCCTTATTATACACCAGAGAACCCACACAGGAGAGAAACCATTTAAATGCCTGCACTGTGGGAAAAGTTTCAGTCAGCGCTCACATCTTACTAGCCATGGGAGAATCCACACAGGAGAGGGCCCACATAAATGCTTGTACTGTGGGAAAAGTTTCAGTGGACCATCAGCCCTTACTGCACATCAGAGGATCCACACTGGAGAGAAACCCTATAAGTGCTTGGACTGTGGGAAAAGCTTCAGTCAGAGCTCAAGCCTTATTAGCCATAGGAGAATCCATACGGGAGAGAAACCCTATAAATGCCTTGTGTGTGGGAAAAGTTTCAGTGTATCATCAGCCCTTATTGTACACCAGAGAACCCACACGGGAGAGAAACCCTATAAATGTTCGGACTGTGGGAAAAGCTTCAGTCTGCACTCAAGACTTATAAACCATAGGAGAATCCACACAGGAGAGAGACCATATACATGCCTGGATTGTGGGAAAAGTTTCAGTCAGCGCTCACATCTTAATAGCCATGGGAGAATCCACACAGGAGAGGGCCCACATAAATGCTTGTACTGTGGGAAAAGTTTCAGTGGCCCATCAGCCCTTACTGCACATCAGAGAACCCACACCGGGGAGAAACCTTATAAATGCTTGTACTGTGGGAAAAGTTTCAGTCAACACTCAAGCCTTATTAGCCATGGCAAAATCCACACGGGAGAGGGACCATATAAATGCCTTGAGTGTGGGAAAAGTTGCAATGCACCATCAGCCCTTATTGTACATCAGAGAACTCACACGGGAGAGAAACCCTATAAATGCTTGGACTGTGGGAAAAGTTTCAATCAGCGCTCACATCTTACTAGCCATGGGAGGATCCACACAGGAGAGGGACCACATAAATGCCTTGAGTGTGGGAAAAGTTGCAATGCCCCATCAGCACTTATTGTACATCAGAGAACCCACACAGGAGAGAAACCCTATAAATGTCTTGAGTGTGGGACAAGTTTCAGTGTACCATCAGCCCTTATTACACATCAGAGGACCCACACAGGAGAAAAACCCTATAAATGCTTGGACTGTGATAAAAGCTTCAGTCAGAGCTCAAATCTTACTGCCCATCGGAGGCTGCACATGGGAGAGAAACCCTGTACATGCTTGGACTGTGGGAAAAGTTTCAGAGAACCATCAGCCCTTATTGTACATCAGAGAACCCACATAGGAGAGAAACCTTATAAATGCCTCCACTGTGAGGAAGGTTTCAGTCAGCGCTCAAACCTTATTAGACATCAGACAAGCCACACAAGAGAAAAACCCTATAAATGCTTAGATGATTGGGAAAGTTTCAGTCCCTGCTCATAACTTCATAAAAATTGAAGAATTCACACGGGACAGAATCTATAAATGCCTCAACTGTGGAAAAAGTTTCATTTGAAGATCAAACCTTGCGTCACATCAGACGATCCGCACGAGAGAGAGAACCCTTGGATGCTTGGATTGTGGGAAAAGGTTCAATAACTGCAAGAGGAGATTCAGTCTGAGCTCACACATTGTTCCTCATCGCATAATTCACAGAAGAAAGAGCTTGAGTGTGGGGGAAGCTTTATCTGCTGCTCACACGGTATCAAACCTCAGTAAATCCACACAGAGAAGAGCCCTTTTATGGGTCCTTAGCATGGAAAACGCTTCTGTTGGAGGTAACACCACACTGGACATCAGAGCGTCCTCCACACTGGAGGGAAATTCCCTCAGTGCCCTGACTAGAGCTGGCCATAGTAAAACCTCCATTTCCTAGTTCCCACCCGCATTGGTGGCATTTGGCTTCCAGGTATCTGTTAGGGCTTTTCCCGTCACCCTCTCCCCTGGTTCTTGTCTCACAGACAGAGAACAGACCAGAAGTCTGGAGTGCTGACAAGTCAATGTTTATTGGGATTAGTTTCCAAGCAAGCATATTTCGCACCCTTCACACCAGTCAGGCTTCTCTCTACGCGCCGATAGAGTCTGCTCCCCGGTGTTTTGTTCCTGGCTCTGACGCCGCTGTGTCCCAATTCCCCAGTCCCCTTCCCCCTCCTCCTTCTCAGCAGGCCCAGATAGACCTGCGGTGCACACCCTAGTCACACCCCTCACAACTTATGGTCATGTTCTGTTCTGGAGGGTCGTGAGTTGGGGTCTTCGTGCCACCTCTTTTGTACCCAAGGGAGGGGTGAGGAGTGAGGTTGTGCTCCGGCAGGGGCAGGCATTTCTTTGGTCTTTTAGTGTTTTACCTCCCCACATCCCGCCTTCCCCTCCTGACTAGTTGCTTGACCTTGCTTTGAGAGAAAGAGTTGAGGCGGTTGTCAAGTGGGCGCTCACATATTACACTCCAGCTATGCCCAGGAACACTAGTTCCAGCTCTTAGCTCTTTTCAGCCCATCTGCTTGTGGGCAGATGTAGCACACGGGGTCATTGTCCTTTGTTCACCCATATTAGTATAAGATGCAAGAGTATCAAAAAGTCAAACCCCAAATTCTGTCTCAGGCTGACAACCAGGCTTCTGTGCTAACAGTGTCCAGCTGTCTGTCTCTGGGGGCAGGTTCCCGCAGCCACTGACCCGGAGCTGATCAAGGACCCTCTGGCTTTGCCTGATCTAAGCTAACCCCAGCAGAGGAGGAGAAGCCCCGATCAGCCCTCTGACGGGTTGCCCTGCCGATCTGGGTATGCCACCTGATGTACTGGGGTTCCACTGAGCCTGCCCGTTCCACCAGCCAGGGCCCCCCAACCCCGGCCTGCCAAGCCAGGCTCTCCAGCCTGCTCTGTCACACCCACAGGAAGGGCCACGTCCTGCTGCAGAAAGACACGGACGCGGAGATTAGGTCTGCACGATGAGACCCAGCTCAGGAAGTGCCCTGCACTCGTGTGCACACCACTGTAGGAGTGCAAACCCCAGGAGTGCACTGTCCTCCCAGCACGGCACTCACCACAGTGTTCTGTGCTCTCCACGTGTAGGAATCACACTCGGATTTCTTTGATCCTGACTCAGACGCCTGAGGGCTACAGATGAGTGTCCCCGACCTGGAGGGGGAATTCAAATGACCCCCAAAGCTCTGGCTCATCTTTCAGAGCTAAAATCCCTGCTTTCGTCTATTGCAGGGGCCGGCTCCCGGTCCTTTGGCTCCCGGTCCGTCAGGGTAAGAGCAGCCAAGGGACATGCTGGCCGTGCTTCCTGCAGCCCCCATTGGCCGGGAACGGCGAACCACGGCCACTGGGCGCTGCGGGCGGCTGTGCCTCTGGGCGCTCAGGTAAACCAACCGTCTCGCGGCCCACCAGCGGCTTACCCTGGCAGGCTGGGAGCCAAAGGTTGCCAATCGCTGATCTATTGTTAAAGTGGTTTCTGGGCTTTGTAGATGTTCAGGTTTGGGCTTTGGATTTTTTTATTATTATTTTTGCATTAGGACGATGTTAAAACTTTTGTAAATGACACAACCAGATGATGATGAGGTGCTGAGTATAGCAGGTTTAGCCAGGTCAGAAGAAAATGAATACATTGGTTTTCCTTCTTTGGGGAGTTCTGTGGGATTTCACTTTATGAACCTGAAAGTATTTTGTAGTGCACCTTGTAGTGTTGGTTTCTGTCCCTTCCTGCAGGCCGTTTGGTCATCTATTTTGATATTAGTTTACTTTGACAGGATGTAGCAGTTTTATTAAGGACTTTATGAGACAAATGATCATTTGCCAGAAGAGTCCTTTTTTGTTTTATTTTAACTGTTCTTTCCCATTGTCATGAGATTTTCATGTTTGAACAATGACAATTATCAATATCTCTCAGCACGAACACCGAGGGGGCGCGCTAGATTCACACTCTGAGAGGCCGAGACTGAACAGGGTGTGGAGTTACTGCCAGATCCCTGCAGAGAAGTGAGATGCAGACAGGACGGGGTATGGAGTTACTGCCTGACCTCTGCAGAGATGTGAGATGCAGAAAGGACGGGGTATGGAGTTACTGCCCGATCCCTGCAGAGATGTGAGATGCAGACAGGACGGGGTGTGGAGTTACTGCCTGACCCCTGCAGAGATGTGAGATGCAGACAGGAGGGAGAGAGAGTGTGGAACCAGAGCTGGGAACCTGCAGGCTCGTCTCTTGGGTGCCAGACCGCTGAGGCTGAGAACGGTGAACTTGCTGCACCAGTGCCAGAGAGAGACAGGAATTGCCCTGTGAGTGCTGGGTGAAGCCATCCCTGAAGTCGGAAGGGCTACAAACGATGCCCCAAGAGGAATGAGGAGGGGAGGGGGCAGCGTCTCCCCATTGCTCAGAGGATGAGCCTGGGCAGAGACGAGAAGGAAGCTGGGGAAGCCAACAGGCCTGGGCCAGCCTTGAAGCCAGGCTGACCCCACCATAGAGGCCAGAGGGAGATGAGGAGCCTGAGAGCCCAGCTGGTCACCCCTCCCCCTCTAACACAGTGTCCTGCGTGGGGACGACAGAGACTCTCTGCCCCACTCCCCCCACACTGCGTCCCTGTAATCTCTGCTCCTTGGATTCCTGCCCTCGGCCCCAGCATCTCTCCTGGGTGCTCTGCACTTTTCTACCAGTTTGTACATGTTGCTGGTGCACGGGGGCTTTGGGGGCAGCAGTGTGCTGGGCTGGGGATGGAAAGGCCCATGCTGAGCTGAGCTGGGCTGGGGGTGGGGACAGGAGTCTGGCTTTCTCCTTTGTTATAATAAAGTAGAATTGAGTTTCTCGCACTGTGTCCTTGTTTTCCATTAAATACCCCCCGGCTTCAGAGTGGAGGTGAAGCAGCGCTCACAGGGTACGGAAATGCAGTGAGGTTAATACTCCGCCTGTTCCTCACACCACAACTTTCCCCTAATTCATTCTGGTCTGGCTACAAAATAATTGTGTCTCAGTTGGTACCATGATTATTGTTATACAGCAGCAGCCAGAGGCTCCCCAGAAGCCCAAGGCCGTACTGTGCTAGGTGCTGTACATACCCCTCATGAGAGACAGCCCCTAAGGGAAAGAGCGTCCAGCCTAAATATGCAGAACAGCCAGTGTAATGATTTTGCAAGTGTCAGTAGCGACCCTGAAATCTAACCGGCTACGAGTGATGCCCCAAGGGGAATGATGAGGGGAGGGGGCAGCATCTCCGGATGGCTGAGAGAACGAGGCTCTGCCGTTGAAGCAGCTGTTCAACTTCTGTTCCGTGTGACAAACTCAGATTGTTCTTCCCCAGAATTACAGCCCTTACCCCAGAGCGCAGACACATTATCTGAGAACAGTCAATTCTTACTGGCTTTAGCAATAATCACTGCCAATGGGGCTGTTCAGACCCTGCCCCGGCTGTCAGCCCCTGCCATGGAGTGATACCATTCAAAGCCCCGTGCTGTTCTGATGAAGGTATTTTAGGGCTTGTGGGCCCAGATTATATTAAACTGAATTTTAAATCCCATTAGATTTTCTGTAAGTTTTTCAAAAGTATCATTTCAAAAAATGACTTGGGGTTGGGTTTTTGATGGTATTAGGCATCTGAGGATGCAGAGAGGGGCCTCGCGCAGTTGTCAAAGCCGGTTAGGCACCAGGGGCTCGATGCACAAAAAGATTTAGATGCCCAGCTGCTCCTTTCATTCAAGGTACCTGAATCCGACTCTTAGACGCCAACTATCCTAACTCTCTCTCTCTCTCTCTCTCTCAACTGTTGCCGAACTCTGCTCAGGAGCGGAGAGGGTGGGGTTTGGGGGAAGGGGCGGAGCATGGGCAGGGCTTGGGGGAAGAGGTGGAATAGGGGCGGGGAAGGAGGAGAATGGGGGAAGGGGTGGGGCAGGGTAAGTTGTCCTGGGCCCTGCACCCCACTAGGGGCGGCCCTGGGTAAGGTTGTTCTTATTTGCTGACTTGTCCTAACGTGCTGAAACTCGACAGTGGTGTGGGATGGACACATAGATAGGGTTACCATATTTAGTGCCTCCGAAAGGAGGACACTCCACGGGGCCCCGGCCCCAGCCCCGCCCATGCCCCCGCCCCAACTCCGCCCCCTCCTCAAAGTCTCCGCCCCCTCCCGTGCTTCCCGCGAACATTTGATTCGCGGGAAGCCTGAAGCAGGTAAGGGGGGGTGTGGGGGGAGGAGGCGCGGCCCAGGCTGGCCCCCCCGGCGTTTCCAGCCTGGGTCGGCTCGGGCCCTGGGGTGCCGGGCCCGGCCCCCGGCCGACCACCCCC